GCCAATGCTGTCGCGGACAAACCAGTTTACAACTCTGAGGCCAGGTTACACATTGGAGGCGTACAGATTCAGCAGTGCTGTACTGTCCTGATGAAAGCATCCTCAGGAATTACTTCATTGCCAGGAAACTTGACGCCCATGCGATAAAGCTGGAGCAGATTTAGATTTCAACAGACCATTATTTATGCACATGATCACGTATTCGCATGATGAGACGCCAACGAGGTTTCTATCTGTCAGCTCTGAGAGGGAGGAACTATGCGCACATGACATTTTAACCGTTTTTCTGTCGCCTAAGGGGCATCACAGAGCAAGCACTGGTTATGAATCAATCGGAAACCATATTCAAAAATTACTAATGACATCGCGTGAACCACCAGAAGACCCGAGGTGATCTATCCCCACAACACACGCTTTTGCAAAAAGCAGAGTATCACCAATGATCACCTTCTTTTCAACTTACATCAAACGTCAAGTTGATCACTTCAAACGTCAGGGCTTTGCAAAGTGGACGCTTTTCTAGCGTGCTTCTTGCAGGCATCGCCGACTGCATCTTCGATGCTTCTCTCCACCAAATTGAAGAATTTGGTTTTATGTCCTCAGAATATGTGGCCGGTGGCTGGGGCCTTGAAGATCTAGGTCCATTCAAGTATGGACAGCACTTTCTCAAGACTTTTACTTAACCTTCCTTTTCTTTTGTTTCATTGTAGTCGCCTTTGCAATATTTCATGCCATGTTGTCACTTTGCCTCTGGAACAGTCAACCGTTGTACTGTAGGTATTGTGCCTGCACTCAAGGGTGGAAAATCTTCATGTCAACTAGATTGCGGACACGATTTTGTAGATGCTCATCTTCGTGTCCTGTTACTTTGTTCAGTTTAGGTGCAGTTGTGCAATGCTCTCATTTTGGAGGCTGACTTTCGTTGTTAGCTAGCATATCCGGTGCTTCTGCAGGAAGGAAAGCGTTTGTCGTTTGTGCACTGCTGGTCAGTGTTCTGCCGTGTTCCAGTGCACTGTGTCAGTTATCAATCAGTGAAAAAAGCTGTGTCAACTATTTTGCCAGGCTATCCGCAAAGAAGATGCTGCTGAAGGTACAATTAGCGCACTGTTACTCTACCTGGACCTAGACCCGATATCTACGAACCCCTAGAGATTTTGTAGACTGCAGATTCAGGTTCAGATTCTGAATGTCGCTTGAGTTTCAATGCCAGGACCCTACTAGGGGCTGCTGGCCTTACTACTAGGAGCAAGGTGGACAGCAGAAGTTCAATCAACTTGTGCCAAGCTCTCCTTTGCGGCAGGCAGAAGCTGACGGCATATGTCGCGAACTGCAGGAGCAGAAGGGGATGGCAACAGGGATAAAAATATATATATATATATTGAATACTGATTAATTGGGGTCATGCTTTTGATAGCCCTTAGCTTTGGGCTCATGGCGTCCAATGCAAGGACCACCTTGTTGCATTTTGAGGGGATGTGCAGCACAGATTAGCCGAGGACAAATTGCTGTTCTTGGCAGTTCGCTAAGGGACTTTCTTCTCGGCACAATGCTTGGCTTGTAAAGCTTGTTGAGCATCCAAGTATGTGTCCACGTGTGCTGCAGGCTTGGCTTACAAATTGAATCGCAGGATCTGACTGAACCCTAGGTCTTAACTCTTGACACGTGTTCGCGCGATCCCAGTCCTGGTATATAAACAAAAATGAGGGGCTCTCTAGAACCTGCATGTTTCTACGGACCTGAAAGAAAGCAGCTGCAGCGTTCACTCCTTTCGCTCCACTCCTTTTGACCTCAACGTGGGAATTGTGCCTCGGCCCTGCTGGAAACCGTCCTCAAGATGTCGATCTCCGTCAATCTGCAATGTCGAACACAGAAGAAGCTAGAAGAGCAGCATCACCCCCACCCTTTACGAGGTTGAGCGAACCAGATGGAGGGCGATGGCGGGGACTTCCGACAACGAAGATCCAGTGTGGCCCACATGAGGTAGCGGCATTTCGGTTGTGCCGAGGGTATAGCAAAGCCTGTAAAGATTGGCGACCTCCATGAGAATGCGCTGTTTCTACTTCCTTTTCTTCAACACATCAAGGTCCTTGGGAGCAGCTGGTTCCTTTTATGCCAACATGAACATCATGAACAATGATTAGAATACAATGAATACAATTCGTGCCAAGTGGCCAAGTACTTTGCGGGCCACCCCACCCATCGTGTAGCTGTTTGAAGGGGGGGAGCGCTCGCTGGAGGTTGAAAACAGTTCGCCAGACAATCTCCTTGAAAAGAGATGTGCCGACTTTGGCAGATGCGGGAGTGCCGACATCAGGTGCGAGAGTTGGTGCTGACGTGCTCCCACATTGATTTGCTTAATTCTTTTAGCCTTCTAGCTTGAGGGGCCTTGCTGCTTGCAGGTGCCTTTTGACATGTTTTCAGTACGATTTCAAGGTAGAGCCACGAAGCAGATCTTGGGCCCCTGGACGGTTGGTCCTTCCACTGTACATATGACATGTATCATCCCACCGTAAAAGCGGGAACTGTATATAATGCTTTCCAATGCCTCGCCAGTCTCGATTGTTAACAATGAGGCAACAAGCGTCAAAGCCAAAGCCAGAACCGACCCGTCCTGAAACTTGGCATGAGATGAGATGGTCTGTTTACATGACAAATCATTCACAGAGTTCCAACACCAGCTCCCCCGACTCAATATATCGGCCTGCCATACTTGCTGGTTCTTTGCTACTTGCGCATGCACAATCGGACGAGATGAAACATTGGCATCTCCCTCCGGAAGAGGCAATATTAGCTGTTGACCTAACTGATAATGAATGGTGTTGAAGGTTAGACAACAGGTGAAGACAAACATGTTCTCCTCTATTCACAAGACCATGTGTTGACACCAACGCAGTCAAAGTGTTGAGACTAACAGATTTGCTGTGACAAACCTGCCCCTGAGTCGCTTGTTGGCTGAGCTTGCCGAGAGCCACGAGGATCTTGTGAGCCGAGGCAGGTAGAAAGGACTTGAGATGCCAGCCAGACTCAGTATATAGATTGTATCTTACGGGAGTCTTGAGCAACCTGCAATAACTGTTTGATCAAGATCCAGGAATGTCACAGCCCAGACTTGTATATCACATCCATGGTCCAAGAAACACTTGTTGTAAAATGTTGTAAACTGTAAGCCGTAAACCGAAAAGATGTGACAGAAGAGTTCAACATAATTAACTCTTGATTACATAATTAACTCAAGAGTTATGTCTTTTACAACCAATGTCTCCACACGTAGCGTTCTCAAAAATAGCTCTATATAGATCTATATAGTGTTAATTCTTTTCAACTCTTCTGCACATATTGAACTATTAACTCTTGATTTATTACTCCACAGAGTAACCCCCCTTTGCCAAGGCGTAACTGTTG